TAATAAACTTTGGGGATTCATCTGAGGTCTAATCCCAGACGATCAGTCCTTTTGTATACCAGGAAAGTCACTAATGGACAATTTATTTTTAATGAGAGACGTGTTTGATGTTTGTAACCTTTATGATGTAAATGCAGGTATCATCTCTATTGATCAGGAAAAGGCGTTTGATAGGGTTGATCATGAGTTCCTGTTCTCTACGCTACAGGCTTTTGGTTTTGGGGGGAGGTCCTTTCTGGAAGGGATTAAGATGCTGTATAGGAATGTCATCTGTATGGTGAAGGTAGCGGGGGGCCTGAGTCAACCTATACCAGTTCTAAGAGGAATCAGACAGGGTTGTCCCATCTCAGGACAACTATATGTTTTAGCTATTGAACCGCTGCTGTGTCGGCTAAGGAACAGGTTGAAAGGTCTACACCTACCTTTACCTGTCTCTAGCCCTCCCTTAAGCCTGGTTTATGCTTCTCTGTCTGCTCCGCAAGGGACAGACACGAACGGATTGACGGAAGCGTTTTGCTCTCATACTTCTCCGTCACCTGGAGAGTGTTGCAAAGCAATTGCCCGGCAGGACAACAGAGGGCGTAGCGCTGTTCTGTGGTATCCTGTCATGTATCGGTCCAAGATAGTGTGTTTATATTGTGTTTTTTGTGTATATAAGAGACTTTTAACACGGACATATTTGTCTCTCATTATCCCACCTCTTAATGCGCTCCCCACCTCTAAACCCACGTTTCCTGTCATTTCCGTCCACAAATAAAACGCTTGCTGCGCATTTTTTCACTCCTCCAGTCACGGGAGAATTAAATGTTCATATGTTTAGAGTTTGTTCGCGAGGTATTCTTCAAGCTTCTCCATGTCTGCCGCTAGTTATCCTCAGCTCTCTTTGCAATGGCGGCGCTGTAAACAACAGCGGTGCCCTGACCAATCACAAGCTTGCGTAATCCGTCTCGTTCGACGGATGTTTAAAAAAGTGGGCTCGACTCCGTACGTACTTGCGTGCCTGCCGGAGCCCTACGCAAGGACGGATAATGGCGTTGCGTGTCTCCGCACTGACGCAGACGGAGAAGCATGAATCAGGCTTTAGTTGTGTCTGCTTATGCAGATGATCTGAATGTTTTTATCCATGAACAGCAGGATGTACAAGAACTCAGATCTAGTTTACTTTTATATAAGGATGCATCCTCAGCTAAGGTTAACTGGGACAAGAGTGAGGCATGTGTAGTGGGGGTGGGGGGTGGGACCTTAGTAATGTCCCGCATCTGCCAGAAGGGCTGAGGTGAGGAACGAGAGGTATTAAAACACTAGGCCTGTACTTGGGTACTGAAAGGTTTAAGAAACAGAACTGGGAGAAGGTGCAGGAGAAGGTGGAGGCGCGGTTGTCTAAATGGAAATGGCTTCTCCCCCAGCTGTCCTACAGGGGCAGGGTTCTGATAGCAAACAACCTGGTTGCCTCGTTTCTGTGGCACAGACTGATTGTACTGGTTCCACCACCAGGTCTGCTGGAAGGTGTTCAGAAGCTGTTGGTGAAATTCTTCTGGTCCGGTCACCACTGGATCAGAGCTTCGGCTCTTTGCCTGCCCGTGTCAGAGGGAGGACAAGGACTAATAGACGTGGTGTCTAGAACTGCAGCCTTCAGGTTACAGACAGCTCAGAAGCTTCTTTATGGTGACGGACTCTGCTGGCTGCCCCTGGCGCATCTCCTGCTGCAGAAGGTTGGTGGGCTTGGGCTGAACAAACACCTGTTCCTGTTGAATCGGAAGGTGGTGGATCTGACAAGGATTAGTCCGTTCTACTCGGCAGTGCTGGACTCTTTTAAGCTGCTGACAGTTTCCAGAACGCCTGACACGGGACCAGGGACATGGTTGCTACAAGAACCCTTGTTTGACAATGACTTCTTCTCTTGAGCTGGCATCTTAACTTCGTCTGCGTTGAACGTGATGTTTACCGATACTGGGATTGTAAAGTTTGGTCACTTACTGAAGATCCCGGCTGGAACCCTTGGTGAGCAGGTGGATGTGAGGTCCACCAGAGTGATGGAGAGAGTGGTGGAGGAGGTACGGAGGTCCTTGTCTGTGTCGCAGAGAGCCTTCATTGAGTCTTGTACTCTATCTGACCAATGGGATGATGACAGTGAGCATGTTTTTCCGTCTCTGGAGGTTAAAGCAGCTGGTGAGGGATGGCAGGAGGAGAGTGGATCACTGCTGAACCCGAACACTCCAGTGTTGGGCTCCTTCCCTTCTTGTGGGAAGAAACAGATCTATCAAACTTGTGTGACGGTTATCAATAGGCGCTCCTTATTAGGAGTCGAGGTGGACTCAGGTGTTTGCTGCGGACAATGCCCCTGGGGGCAGCTGGAGGAGTTTGTATAAGTCTCCAGTGGAAAAAAGGATGGCAGACCTTCAGTGGAGGATCATACATGGAGCTTTAGCTACGAACAGACACAGAGCTCGCTTTGATCCAAGCACCGGTGAGGGATGTCCTTTTTGTAACCAAACTGAGATCGTAGAGCATCTGGTGGTAGCATGTTCTAGGTCAGGGATTCCCAAAGTGTGGTGCGCGCACCCCCGGGGGTGCGCGAGCTGCCGCTAGGGGGTGCGCGAGGTGAAAAGTGTAATGGCTGCGGAGCTCAGAGAAGTCTGTCATATGTCACCATTAGCGTAGCCAGAAACTCATTTGTGGGTGGGCCAAAGAAAACGTAAGTGGGCACAATAAATGTAATTGAAAACAAGTATATTTTTGCGCGCACGTGTGTCCTCCACATGTGTTCTAGCTTCATAATAACAATGCGCCGAGCTTCAGCACTCTGGCCTGCGCACGCCGATATGTTCCGTATTTGATCATTTTTAACGGTGTTGGAGAAATCTGAAGGTGGTGAGTCATTCTGGCAGATTGTAATTAACACCTGTCTCATGCAGGTGTTCTGACATTGTAAACCTCACACACAGAACATTGTGGATGTAACAAAATAACAAGAAATGATTCCCATTCAGGCTATTAACAGCGTGCCGGAGATCTGAAGTTCAGAGTGCGTCTGTCAGAGGTCAGACGCGTGCCAGCGGAACCACGGCACATCTGGGCTGGGCAGAAGTCATTTTACAACATTGGTTTAAATAGCGCCAATAACGAGGCGCGGTGACTGGAGCGGCTCATGGAGCTGTGCCGTGCGCGCGCGCGCGCACACACACACACACACACACAGATTCAATAAGAGCGCACGCTGCGCAAACTCCGGCGCCCCAGAAATGAGCGCTGCCTCCTCTGTTATAAAAACTTTTAAGAGGTTTTATAACATTTTTCATTCAAGGTCAAATTAAGATATTAGCTTCTATTTTGGGATGACGTATTAAAGTCGGGTCCGCTCCAGCTCATGAACCTGACTACAACCCCTGTTGCAGCATTTGTTGTTCCAGTCCGCATGGCAGCGGATCGCAGATTCAGCCACCATAAAACAGCAATAAGTCGGTCTGAGGCAAAAGTGAACATCATGGCTATATCTTGTCCCCTATTGACATTTGATTACGCACAAGTAGGTGATCAGTTCAGGTTTACGCAGAGCAGAAGGAAGGAGAGCGCTCTGGCCGCACAGGTTAAACGTTCCTACTTTAAGAAAACCGTTAAATTGCATTGTTTTTGTGCTACCTGGGCACTCTAAATATTTATTCAAAATGAAATCAAAGGACATTGTAATGGTATTGAATGTTTATTAATTACAATTAAAAAAAATGAAAGTGATGGGGAAAAAGGTCGATCATATTTTTTTAACCCTGTCTGTTTAGCTTGACGTCTGAGATATATATATATATATATATATATATATATATATATATATATATATATATATATATATAGCCATGCCCTGATGTGGGGGCTGGGGGGATGCGTCGACATGGTCGGGACATAGAAGGGGGTGCGCGGCTAAATAAGTTTGGGAACCACTGTTCTAGGTTATCAGGGATGTTTAAAGTTTTAGAACGGTGGGTTAGTGCACTGTTTTCAGGCCCAAGTACAGTGTCAGAAAAAACGGACAATATTGTTGATTAACTTTTTATTTGCATGTGCAAAAACAGTCATCTGGAAAACCAGGAAAAACCAGATGCTGGGACAGAGCTGGACTGATGCTGAGCGGAGCCTGAAGGGCCTGGTGGAAGCTCGCTTGAAGATCGAACACACTTTTTATGAACTTACTGGGAACCTGGACTTCTTTAGAGCGGTGTGGGGGATTGGGCAGGTGCTCTGTCTGCTGGATGGGCAGGGCTCCCTAAAGATCAACTTCTAAACTGGTTTATCAGTTTTCCTGGTTTTATTAGTGGAAAACAAGTTACAGTCATTAACGCTGACTGTTGATTTGTAAAGAAAAAGAAATAATTTAAAAGTCATCTCTCTCTCTCTCTCTCTCTCTCTCTCTCTCTCTCACCCTATCAACAATACATTATTATAAACCATTACCCTACATCGAACTGATGAAACATTGTCTCTGCTATAATGCTAACTCAGATAAACTGAAGTTGGGGACTGTTTAATCTAGCTGTTTGAGTGGAGTTCCCTCATTACCAGCTGCCTGGAGCTCAGACCAGAAACAATTTAGCTAGTTTTGAAAATAGCACTGTTTAAAAAACACCTTATTTTCTTAAGATCCAACTGTGAAAATTCCAAAACCTTTTACGTCTGAGGTTTTCACGTTTTTCTTTATACAGGAAATTTGCCTCTGGTCAATATCTTTAGGTGTTAAGAGGTTAATTAAAAAAAACATACTAGATTTTAATTAGGAATAAAATTAGGAATTTCCCACATTCATTTGTGATTTCATCTTTACACAGTTTAACTGAAATATAATGTATTAACATGCTTATAATGTCCTTAACTGTGTTCATTCCCTAACAATGACATGTTTTTACGGCTATAACAAAAGGACATTTAGAAAGATCGCCACCAATATTTGTCACAAACCCCTATAGCAAGATCTGCTGTCAAGCAGGTATAAAAGTGATAAACATACTCACCCAACAGAGCTACTTGAGATTCGTTTAGAAATGGTTTAAGTTGCAGACTGGACATGTTAAGTCACCTTTGGTGTTTAACGGCTGAATAGTTGTGGTTATTTCTCAGCTCTGTATTTTATACCTCAGCAGTAACTTCCTTCTGGTAATGGGATGGCAGTTCGTTGGCATTGTGCCAAAATACTGATAAAAACCAACCTGTGGTCTTGAATAAAGAAATTGTCATGAAAGACCAACATATTTTTTATATTCATATTGCAAACTAAATATATCCAATCAATACTTAAAATGTGTAGACAACATAGTTAATATTTAAGCAACAACTCCAGCTTTTACAGCCATTAAAGTCTTGTGCTTATCTAGCTGGTATCTTCCAGTAAGCTTGGACATTCACCTCTTTACTGGAAGGCAATGACGTCTCTGACATGACACACACACACACACACACACACACACACGCTCACACACACACGCTCAGTGGCCTAGTGGAAGAGTGTCCGCCCTCAGACTGGGAGATCAGGGTTCGATTCCTGGTCAAGTCATACCAAAGACTTTGTAAAAAATGGGACCCAACGCCTCCCTGCGTAACACTCAGCATTAAGAGGTTGGATTGGGGGGTTAAACCACCAAATGGTTCCCGAGCGCAGCTGTGTCTGCAGCTCTCCGCTCCCCCAGGGGATGGGTCAAATGTGGAGAACAAATTTTGCACACTCAGTGTGTGTGACAACTGATGGGACTATACCTTTAACACAGCTACAAGTATGGACAATGCCATTTAAAAGTTCTTATTCCCTTTATTCTTGTAGATATTTTTCTTATTTTTTTTATTTTGTTGACCAGAGTCTCCACTCATACTAATGATGAGAAACTCATTGTTGCCAACTGCCCCCAACAAAAAGTAGCTGAAGTTGAACCCAGAACGTCCCCAAGGGGTCGCCAGACGACGTCACACCCAAAATTGCTTATTGATGATGTCATCACGCCAATTAGTAATGGCCCAAATTTCTTTGATGTGTAAAATAAAGTCCAAAAGTACAACTAAAGACTGCAAAATCATGCCTGTGCCATCTCTAGTATATACATGAATCTGCAGCAGGCATCAAACGGCGGTCTGCAGCTCTGCAGCTGGACCTTTGTCGTCGGCCCGGACAAGAAAGGTTTATGATTGGTTGGTCCTCGTGCACATGCGCAGATTATCATTTGTTTTCCTTACTCCTGAAAGAACCGTTCGGAATGCAAATTGTTTATTTGTTGCTAATCTGCAGGGAATATCTACAAGAAAGTTCTACAGGGAGTAGCAAAGGGTCCTCGGAAATGTCGCTAGGTTTGTCACTACAGATGGCCCGGATGTTCTCCTTCAGGATGTTTTGGTAGACAGTAGAATTCAGGGTTCCATCTAAAACAGCAAGCCATGTCCTGAAGCAGCAAAACAACCTCGGACCATCACACTGCCACCACTTTATTTTACTGTTGGTATGATGTTTTTGGTCTGAAATGCTGTGTTACTTTTACGCCAGGGACATTAACAATCCAAAAAGTTCAACTTTTTTCTCATCAGTCCACAAGGTATTTTCCTAAAAGTTTTAGCAATCATTGAGACGTTTCTTAGCAAAATGGAGATGAGCCCAAGTGGTTTGCGTCTTGGAAATCTGCCAGCAGGCCATTTTTGCCCAGTCTCTTTCTTATGGTGGAGTCGTGAACACTGACCTTAATTGAGGCAGGTGAGGCTTGCAGTTCTTTAGAAAATGTCCTGGTGTCTTTTGTGACCTCTCGGATGAGTTGTCTACGCGATCTTGGGGTAATTTTGGTCGGCCGCCCACTCCTGGGAAGGTTCACCACTGTTCCATGCTGTTGCCATTTGTGGATAATGGCTCTCACTGTGGTTCGCTGGAGTCCCAAAGCTTTAGAAATGGCTTTATAACCTTTACCAGACTGATAGATCTCAATTACTTTTGTTCTCATTTGTTCTTGAATTTCTTTGGATCCTGGCATGATGTCTAGCTTTTCAGGTGCTTTTGGTCTACTTTTCTGTGTCAGGCAGCTCATATTTAAGTGATTTCTTGATTGAAACAGGTGTGGCAGTAATCAGGCTTGGGGGTGGCTACAGAAGTTGAACTCAGGTGTGAAACACCACAGTTGGGCTATTTTTTTAACAAGGGGGCAATTACTTTTTCACACAGGGCAATGTAGGTTTGGATTTTGTTCTCTCCCTAAATAATAAAAACCATCATATCAAAACTGCATTTTGTGTTTACTTGTGTTATATTTGACTAATGGTTAAAAGTGTTTGATGATCAGAAACATTTTGTGTGACAAACATGCAAAAAATAAGAAATCAGGAAGGGGACCAATACTTTTTCCCACCACTGTAAACCCCAGCCAACCACCAACTGTCTGCCAGATTATAGAAAACCTTCGTGAGTAAATATCCAGCATTCCTCTTCGGTCTGACTTCTCCTTGTTGACCACATTACTGCTCCTTGGATTATCCTTCTTGTCTCGCTCCACCTGGATATATAGTTTTTTTGGATTAAGACCCTGGACCTGTGTCCTGACTCCTGCCTTCAGCTCCACATTGGATTACTCTCCTTGCTGTCTTCCTGGTTTTGACCCTAGCCCATCCTCTGACCAACCGTCTGCACTACTTGGATCATCAGCTGGTGGGTATCATTCCTGAGCAACCCGCTCTTAAATTCCTGCCTCAGCTGCAAAAGAAAAACTTTTAATAAAAATCTTAAACGTTCTCTTGTAAACCTTAAACGTTCTCTTGTATGTGGTGTTCTGTTCGGGTCCTCACAGTCAGCCATTAAAACGGATGGCCGGTCCGCCACCATTGTAACGTCATATTAGGTCAGTAAACTGGCACCGAAGGCCCAGTTCCCAAATGCAGGACGCCACAGCTAAAATCCTGTTACCAATACATTTATGGGTTTAAAGGGCGTGTGTGTGTGTGTGTGTGTGTTTTCTGAAAAATTTTATAGTTTTCTTTACTTTTTCCTTCACAACAAGCAAATGGATAGCAGCAATTTTTCTTGGTCTGTTTTCTTCTGCATCGTGTTGTTGCGTTAAGCCCCTCGTTTGTGCAGATGTGATCTCTATAATGGATTTTAATCACAAAATGAATTACATGTGAATTGAGTGTTATTTTAGCAGCAATACAGCTTCTGTATAATTTGGTCCTGCATCCATGAAGAAGAGGGAACAATGATGTCTATTGTGTTAATTAATTTGATAAATAATCACATCAGAGACCGGTAACAGGTAACAAAAACCATACTGGTGACAACGTTTTCTAAGGATGCCTTTATTAAAGAGTCAACAACGTGCGCTAGCCGTCCAGTTCTAGAAAAATAACACAGTCATACATTCATTCATGTGGAAATCCATAAAAACAAGGACGGATTTATTCTTAAAGCTAAAAAATCCCTTTAAAAGGTGAGAGGGGACCTGAATGATGCTGTGTGTGTGTGTGTGTGTGTGTGTGTAGGGGGTGATGAGTAGGTGAATCAGAATTTAATTTTTAAGCCAATTTTAACCTCATTAGTATCAAGTGGTATAAAATCTAACTTATATTTTCATGCCTGTGTTTGGTTGAATAACCTATTAAGCCTTATTATAAAATGGAATTCATGATTCCGGGATCAAAAACAAGAATGAAAGGAAATTTCAGACTTTGTGACAAAGCTGCTGGAACTCAGTGAGCAGAAGTGTCAGATCTGTAGTTTCATGATGCAGATGGTGACGACAGTAAAATGACAAAATGCTGCAGTTTACAGTATAAAAGAAACCTGGAGCATCTGAAGACTTTCAGGAACTGCAGAATGATGCATGCAGTGGAGTACAAACACTGCGAGAACGTGTGTGTTTTTACTTTTACTATGTCGCTGAGCTGCTCCAACCTTACCTAAATGAATGAAACACTAAAACACTGAAAATAAATAATACAGAGTAACAATAGCCTTCAGACTGCTGTTATGATTCTTCTGGATCAGATTAAATGTTTAATCTGGAGTGTGAAGTCAGTAGATACTCCTGTACCTTGATCTAAAGATTACACAAGTCTTTATTTTCTGAGATAAATCGAATCAAAATGCATTTTCTGGTTGTATTTCAGTCACTTTCTTACATAAGTGGCTGAAAATCATCCCCACAACAAGCTCAAGGAACTGAGCTAAACGTCTCACTAGTTTTGTTTTCAAAACAATAAAATAAATAAACAAATGTCTGTTTATTGCTTGAAATATAAACTTATTTTACTCATAAACATATTTTATAATGAATAAATGCTGTATTTAAATACATGTTGCAGTTTAGTAAACTAGCTGCACCCCAGAGTCACCGGACTTGTTCGTCACTGTCCCCACCGTCAGACAAGTCTTGGAGCGCCCTCTGGTGTCCACTTAAGGTGTTACAACTAAAATGCAATCAGACATTAATAAAGTTGATAATTTTATAACTTTCCTGGACTAAAATCCCCATGTTTGTAAAAGTTTTTATGATCCGCCCTCTGGGGGTTAATGTTATTAAGCAAAACCAGAAACATGTAAGCAGAGAAGATTAAGAAACACCAGAAAACTGTCGCCTAGTAGCTCATGTTTATTTGAAGATCACATGAGCATGAAACATTTAACCTGACAGTTTTTAATCATAAACTAACAGCGGCTGACTTCATTTATTGCTGGTTGCTGAAATGTCTTATTATGTCTCTGAGTGTTTGTTGGGTTTTGTGAACCACGGCTAGTTTTAATGAAACCTTCAGAAAGGAATACATGGATGAGAATCTACAGCTGGTGATCCTGTGGAGTCAGTTTAATTAAAGTTGGCTACAACGGCCATCAGATGTTAGAAAAGACAAAAATAGCTACAACCGTTTACATTTCGACTCAGTCGTAATGTCCCGCTTGCAGACTGTCACCCACACCACATTTTGTTGGAACTAGTTAATTAATTTTGCCATTAAATGTTAGATTCAAGATGGCCGACAGTTACTCGACCTGCTGAAATTAAACTTGGATAAAATTCTCATGTCAGTTCTCTTGTTCGCTCTTCCTTCTTCCATCTCAGGAATGTTGCTAAGCTGAGTCCCATTCTGTCCCGCTCTGAACATGAGACAGTTCTCCACTCCTTCATCTC